TCTAGAGATGTGATTTTCCATGAACACATTTTTCTTTTTCACTCTATCTCAAAAACCCCTGAAGTTCTTGACTGCTAACCTGATCTTGTTTTACCTGTTATACCTGCTGATATACATTTCCCTGTTGATGCTTTTCCACCACATCATAGCGATGACAGATCCATTCATGAAGAGGTATCCTATCCAAATATTGATCATGCTGATACTTCAAGCCATAGTCTTCATGATGTATCACACGATCCTTCAACTCATACTGTTACTTCACGTCTTGATCTTAATTCTCCTGCTCCTTTTGTTCATATTCTCAGAAGGTCTCTCAGGACTTATCAAAACTGCTTCTTGTTTGCAGGAAATTCATTGCAACCTTCTATCCAGTTCATCATCCTCTATCGTTCCATCTCCTCTTCCTTATCCTTTACAACACTATCTTTCCTATTCCAAGTTTTCTTCTTCCCATAAAAGCCTTATTTTGAACATACCCGCACATGCTGAACCTCAATTTTACCATCAGGCAGTGCAAGAGGCTCATTGGAGGAAGACGATGGCTGCTGAACTTAGTGTTATGGAATTAAACAGAACTTGGTCCACCATTGTACTACCTAAAGGAAAGCATACTATAGGCTGCAATTGGGTCTATAAAACGAAGTCTAGATCTGATGGAAGTGTTAAACGACACAAAGCCCGTTTAGTGGCAAAGGGGTTTACTCAACAAAAAGGGTTAGACTTGTTGGAAACATTTTCTCCGGTTGCTAATATGGTGACTGTGAAGCTCTTGTTAGCAATTGTTGCTATTAATAACTGGCACCTCATTCAATTAGACGTGAACAACGCTTTCCTTATTGGTGATCTATTTGAAGAAATCTACATGGACTTGCCTCTCGGTTATACTCCTTCAACTTCATCTGGTAAACAGGGGGAGTGTTTGGTATGTAAGCTGCATAAATCCATCTATGGTTTAAAGCAGGCTTCACGACAGTGGTTTTCGAAGTTCTCCCATGCTCTTATACTTCATGGCTTTCATCAATCGAAGTCTGA